AGACATACTAACTGAATATCTAACACTTTTCTAGTTCGCTATTGCAAATGAATATAAACTAGAGTACGTTTCAATTCAAAAAAGTTCGAAAGATGCAAAATTTGGGCAATGTTTATATCGCCCTTTGTTATGAGCAGAACTGATGCGCAGAACGGACTTGATACGGACTTTAAATATACATGAAATATTACTCGACTGTGATTGGTTGATTTCAGCGCAGTTAATCCCAATTCTCAAACAACATTGCAAAATTCTGTAACAACAGTGCAAAAATCTGCAACAAACTGATCTAAAACAAGACTAGCAAAACGTACCAGAAAAACGTTGTCAATACGTGAACGGTTCGCTATAAATGTAAGTTAAAACTACAATTATCTCGTACATTTTTATGTGTATTATTGATCCCTAATAGGATGGTTTCTTGTGAAATTTGGATAAAACAAGCATTCGTGAGTTTTTCAAAGACCTAAAATAGCACTCGTCCTTCGCCTTCGGACTCGCGCTATTTTGATGCTCTTTGAAAAATTAGCTCGTGCGTGTTTTATCGAAATTGCACTCGGAACCATCCCATTACCTATACTAATATATAGGTAGTTAGCAAGTTAGGGTACTTTACAGTTTACCCTACCCGTGTACCGCAAGTATTTGATGGCGTGTGTTCTGATGGCGAGTTTTCCCGTTCTTTTATGGCGTGTTTTGATATGGCGTATGTATTCAGTACGGTAAAGTGTGAAATTTCCGGTATCTCTTATACAAATAACCATAACTAATTTGGTAATCGCGGAAGTCGTATGGTTCGCAGAAACGCGGACTTTCTAGTCTTTCTTGAAGAAGCCAGTGGTCTGTGGTATTTGAAATTTGAGAGAGTGTTAATATTCGTTTCCAGAGAAATGCAGAAATCCGCTTATCTCAATCTAAATGCTTAAAGTCCGGAAATTTTAATTGGATGTTAAAATATATATTGCAGAACCAAGTCCAAGGGCATAAGTCACCTGATATATTATTACACTCTTACACGGGACAATTTTTAATTAACTGCAACTCGCAATGCAAATCGTCCGGTCTGGTGCCAAGTCAGTATTAATGTATAAAATACTTAACGACCACACTGCGCCAGGTCTCCGGGGGTCATTCGTGAGAAGAGAAATAGATCAAACTAATTATCATCTCCGAAACACAGCAACTGATCTAACAATTCCTAAACCGAAACGAGAATTTCTTAAAAAAAGTTTTAAATATAGCGGCGCTATGCTCTGGAATCAACTCCCAAACGAAGCAAAATTGGCCGAGTCGCCTCATTCGTTTAAATCAATTGTTGGACAGCGACATGCTTCCTAATTATTTGTATAGTAACGTGTACAGTATGTGTGTACTAATATTTAGTTTAAATTTTCCTTTTAATGATTTTTAAGATCTAAACACGCCCCCCATGGAAACCAGCCTAGAGTTGATGGGGCTAGCGTGTTCTTCTTTCTGTTAATTTTAAATAAAGTATTACCTACCTACCTACCTACCATCAAACAGGGACGTGGTCAGTCCCAAATGTGTACGTAGGGGGTGGGGTGTGTGCCCCCCCAAATGTTTTCTATGTTAGAGTCTGCGAAACGACACAGGTTTTATGATAATTATAATTTGAAAGACAAAGATTTAGTCTATTTTATGTCATCGATGCAAACATTAAAGGAAATGTGCCCCCGGAAATGTTTTCTATGTTAGGGTCTGTCCATACCAGTCTCCTCCGTGGCTACGCCTCTGCAATCAAATTTCGTGAAACCATGTATCTCAATCATGTGAAACGCAATGTATCTCAATCATGTATCTCAATCATGTGAAACGCAATGTATCTCAATCATGTGAAACGCATGATGAAACACAAGGTAGAGTAGACGATATGTCAAGCAACAATGTGAGCGGCGATTTTTTAAAAACTCTCAGTTCAATCCCAAATGAAAGAGGTTTCAAAATGGCTTTTCTGAATATAGTGAGTCTACCAAAAAATATAGATGAAATTAATTTTTCAATGAACAAAAAATTCATTGATCTGATTGCATTTAATGAAACACGACTTGATGCAAATATAACCGATAACATGATTAATCTAGATGGCTATGATATTGTCAGAAAAGACAGATCAAGAAACGGTGGTGGGGTTTGTATTTACTTGCGTAGCTCCATAAATTACAAAGTAAGAAATGATCTAGTTCCCACTGAACTCGAAGCTGTCTGTGTTGAAATTATTAAGCCGCATAGCAAACCATTTCTTGTTACCACAGTCTATAGACCACCCAGTGCATTATCAGAATTCTTTGATCATTTTGAAAAATTGATCCAAGCTGTTGATAATGAAAATAAAGAAATGTATATCCTGGGTGATCTGAACTGTAATATGCTAAAAACAAATAACAATTCAAATATTCCAACAAAGAAAATAAAATCACTATATGAATTATACCAATTAACACAACTGATAGATGAAGCTACTCGAATAACTCCAACAACCACCAGTCTTATTGATCATATTGTTACTAATATGCCAGAGAAAATCTCTGATTCTGGTGTCATTCACACAGGTATTAGTGATCATAGCTTAGTATTTGCAATCAGGAAAATTTCTATTGTTACAAAACAAGAAAATACTCTTGAAATTAGAAACATGAAAAATTTTGATGAAGGAAAATTTATTGAAGAACTGCTAAAACAACACTGGGAATATGTGTATTTCTTTGCTGATGATCCAAATGCCATGTGGGAAATTTGGAAAAATTTATTTCTTGAAGTCCTAGATAAACATGCACCACTTCAGCAAAAGAAGATAAGATCGAAAAAAGTCCCTTGGATTACAAGTGATATAAAGAAACTTATGAATACAAGGGACAAGTTTAAACGAAAAGCCATTTTGACAAACCATGAGAATGATTGGTTAAACTTTAAAACAGCTAGAAACAAAGTAAATATTGAACTAAGAAGTGCCAAAAAAGATTATTATTCTTCGAAAATAGCTGGTCAAAAAATTAATCCCAAGAAAGCTTGGAAAAGTATAAACAACTTGTTAGGTAGGCAAAACAAACCAACAGTGGTAAATGAACTAAATGTAGGTGAACAAAATCTGACAAGTCCTGAAGATATTGCAGAGGGCTTTAATGAATATTTTTCAAATATTGGCCCAGATCTAGCTAGAAAAATAGATTATTCCAATTCCAATTTTGAAACCTATGTCAAAAATGCTCAATCAGAATTTGCGGCTTTCCAACCTGTTACTGTCAGTCATGTCTCTCATCTTTTGCATGGACTTTCCAACAATAAAGCCACTGGCATTGATAAAATCTCTTCCAAAATTATTAAATTAGCTGCACCTGTTATCTCAGATTCACTGACACTTATTTTCAATCAGGCTATTACTTTATCTTCTTTTCCTGATGAATGGAAGGTTGCTAGAGTGATGCCTCTATATAAAAATGGCCAGCGTAGTATTCCTGGAAACTACAGACCAATATCAGTTTTACCAGCCATTAGTAAAATTATGGAACGGATATTGTATGATCAACTGTATAACTATTTAACAAAATTTGAGCTTCTCAGTGATTCCCAATTTGGATTTCGAAAATTTCACTCTACAGCTAGTGCACTACTAGACTGTACTAATGATTGGTATGTAAATCTAGACAGAAAAATGTTTAACCTAGTAGTTTTAATTGATTTGAAGAAAGCCTTTGATACTGTTGATCATCAAATTCTGCTGAACAAATTAGAGCTCTATGGAATAAAAGGACAAGCTCTAACTTTGCTCAAATCCTATCTCACAAACAGAAACCAGAAGTGCCAAATAAAAAACTCATTTTCATCTGAGCGCTTGATTAAATGTGGTGTACCACAAGGCTCTATATTAGGGCCATTATTCTTTTTGTTGTACATCAATGATTTGCCACATTGTCTAAACAAAACAAAACCGCGGTTGTTTGCTGATGACACAAATTTGACTGCTTCAGCAAATTCTATGACTGACCTAGAGACTGCAGTAAATTCTGATTTAGAGAACCTTAGAAAATGGTTAATAGCCAATAAACTTAGCCTCAATGTAGCTAAGACAGAGTTTATGTTGATTGGCTCTAAACCTATGATCAAAAATATTTCTGATTCTTGCCCAAATGTTTACATTGAAAATATACAAATTAAACAAGTTCATGAATGCAAAACTCTAGGAGTAACAATTGACCAGCATTTATCTTGGAAAAGTAATACCGAAAATATTTGCAAAAAAGTTACAGCAGGAATCTCTGCTATTCGTCGGATCAAACCATTTGTTGATCAAGATACACTTATTTTGATATATAACACTATTGTTCGTCCGTACTTTGACTACTGCTGTGAAGTATGGGATGTATTTGGCGAAACTCAATCAAAACGACTGCAAAAACTGCAAAATAGAGCGGCAAGAATTATTCTGAATATAAGCAATGACGTAGATTATACGATTGCGTTACGTACTTTGGGCTGGGAGCCACTCCAAACTGAAAGGAAGAAAACTAAAGCAAGAATGATGTATAAGTTATTAAACAAAATGGGCCCAAAATCACTCACAAATCTATTTTCGTTTAAGAGTGAGAAAACTAATTACCACCTTCGGGATGTCTCAAGTGGTCTTTATTTACCAAAACCACGTACAAATAGCATGAAAAATAGTTTTATGTACGACGGAGCAAACATTTGGAATTCTATACCAAAAGAAATTAGGGAAAGCAAGTCACTTTCTTCCTTTCGAAATAAAATCGCTGCTCACATTAGTGCTTGGTAACCTTTGTAAATATAACTTACCTGTAAATAGCTCAAAACATTTGTTATATCTTTTAAATTTATATATTACTGTAATAGCTTAGCTTATCCTTATCATATTCTGCATGTAAAATAATTTTCTGGCACACGCCCCCCGTGGAAATCAGCTACGGTTGACGGGGTCAGCGTGGATAAATAAAGTTCTACTACTACTACTACTACTACTACTACTACTACTACTACTACTACTACTACTACTACTACACAAGTTATCCCGTGTTTCATTCCGTGTAAGTGGGGGCCAGGTATTAATTGGGAGGACAGTCCTGTTCCTCATTCCAGTTACGCACGTTGTCTTGTAACATGTTATGTTTATCAGTGCCAGTATAAACATTTAATCAGCGCGCGTGACGAATTTAATAATCTTTAAGCATCATGGACTTACGGTTTAGCAGATTGTGTTCATGAACAGGCAGTTATCAACGCGAGAAAATCAATATACTTATACTCTTTTCGTTAATACAGTATAGACTATAGTATATATAGTCTTGTCTTTATTTGAGGCAAGCAAAATTTAAGCAAATTTTCACGGTCAAACGAGAAATAGAGTTGATAAGAGTTGGCAATCGAGTTTGACTAATGGTCGCGGGTCGCGTGTGTTCATGAACAGGCAGTTATCAACGCGAGAAAATCAATATACTTATACTCTTTTCGTTAATACAGTATAGACTATAGTATATATAGTCTTGTCTTTATTTGAGGCAAGCAAAATTTAAGCAAATTTTCACGGTCAAACGAGAAATAGAGTTGATAAGAGTTGGCAATCGAGTTTGACTAATGGTCGCGGGTCGCGTGTCGCGGGTAAAAAGTCGCGGGTCGCGGGTAAAATGTCGCGGGTCGCGGGTAAAAAGTCGCGGGTAAGAAGTCGCGGGTCGTAAAAAAGCTCTAAACCGTGTATTTTATGGAGTCGCGGGTAGGTAGGTAGGTAGGTAGGTAGGTAATACTTTATTTAAAATTAACAGAAAGAAGAACACGCTAGCCCCATCAACTCTAGGCTGGTTTCCATGGGGTAAAAAAGCTCTAAACCGTGTATTTTATGGAGTCGCGGGTAGGTAGGTAGGTAGGTAGGTAGGTAATACTTTATTTAAAATTAACAGAAAGAAGAACACGCTAGCCCCATCAACTCTAGGCTGGTTTCCATGGGGGCGTGTTTAGATCTTAAAAATCATTAAAAGGAAAATTTAAACTAAATATTAGTACACACATACTGTACACGTTACTATATACAAATAATTAGGAAGCATGTCGCTGTCCAACAATTGATTTAAACGAATGAGGCGACTCGGCCAATTTTGCTTCGTTTGGGAGTTGATTCCAGAGCATAGCGCCGCTATATTTAAAACTTTTTTTAAGAAATTCTCGTTTCGGTTTAGGAATTGTTAGATCAGTTGCTGTGTTTCGAAGATGATAATTAGTTTGATCTATTTCTCTTCTCACGAATGACCCCCGGAGACCTGGCGCAGTGTGGTCGTTAAGTATTTTATACATTAATACTGACTTGGCACCAGACTGCCTATTTTCAAGTGTATCCCAAGAAAGCATGTTGAGAAGATCAGCTGAGCGAGTATCATAATTAGCACCCGTTAGGACTCTTGCTGCACGAGACTGAAATCTTTGCAACTTGTCTCTTAGCAACTTACCACAAGTGTCCCAAAGGGGGGAATAATAATCAAAGTAGGGCTGCACAAGACTTTTATAAATCGATTCTAAGGTATGCATTGGAACAAAGGGCTTTATACGTTTCATAGCGCCAATAGCAGCGCTCGCCTTCTTGCATATCATTTCAATGTGACTATCCCAATTAAGGGTTTCATCTAGTTTTACTCCTAGGCACATTTGTGTAGCAATTCGTGATATGGGTTTTGCATTAGCCACAACGGGTTCCTCACACATTATATTATTAAGATTATATGGGGAGCCAATAAACATCATTTTACATTTTGATGGATGCATCTGCAGCCTATTTTCTTTAAGCCAGTTACAGATATGGGCAAGATCTGAATTTAAATTTACAACAAGTTCATTTGCATCGTAGGAAGATGAAAAGATTTGAGTATCATCCGCGTACATGCATGGATTAGTTGATTTCAAACAATCGGGCAAATCATTAATATATAATAGGAATAGCAGTGGTCCCAGTATAGATCCCTGGGGCACTCCACAGGTGATAATTTTATTACTAGATAATTCTCCATTAACATTACATTGCTGTTCTCTATTTGTTAAATATGACTCAAACCATTTTAATTCTACGCCAAAAATTCCAAATTGCTCATTCATTTTATTTAACAAAATGCGATGGTTTATAGAGTCAAATGCGTTTTTGATATCTATGAACACAACCCCATTTAACTTTCCATTGTCCATATTTTCTAGCCACTCATCACCCATTTGGATGAGGGCAGTTACAGTTGAATGCTTTGGACGAAATCCAGATTGAAACTTTGACAGAAGAGAGCTTTCAGACAAGTATCTATATACCTGACGAAAACTTCCTTCTCAAAGGCTTTACTCACCACCGGTAAAATTGAAATAGGCCGATAGTTATCACATTGCCTTTTATCCCCGGATTTAAATATTGGCGTAACACGAGCACGCTTCCATTCATCTATATATACGCTTGTTGCAAGCGACAGATTGAAGATGAATGTCAACGAGGGTGCAATTATGTTTGCAGATAATTTTAGAATTTTAGCAGGAATTTTATCAAGACCTGTTGCTTTACATGCTTTTAGGCCTCTTAGGGTCGAGGCAACACTATCAACGGATATTGGAGATACTTTAAAAAAGTATCTGAGGATTGATTAATATTATAGTTTATGGGCTGATTATCAACATTACTACAGGACTCGTCTACATATTCTGCTGCTAGCCTCGACCCAATACTAATGAAATAGTCATTAAATGCATCTGCAATAGATTTAGGATCCGAAACTAACGTGCTGTCAACCAGCAGCTAATTCACATTGTTGGATTTGTTATTCTTTCCCAATAATGAATTAATTAATTTCCAAGTCTTTTTAGGGTCATTCATTACAGAGCAATCAGTGATTTTATCATGAAAATATTTTGATTTTACATTTCGCATTTCAACATTCACTTTATTCCGCAGAAATTGATAACTTTCCCAACGTGACACGTATTTCTTATAAAATAATCATGCCAAACAGCCTTGACTGTTTAAGAACTTTATACTAAAAACAATGGGCCAGTTTTATATACTGTTCCATGGTTATAAGTCTTCAGTAGTGCAGTGAGGCTTATTAAAGACTTTAAAGCTGGGCTTAATACATGATTCGTTCGTTAATCAGTGCTTCTTTATTGACTTTATTGAAAGGAGTGATTAAGTATCACCCCAATAAATGTTTAATTTGTATATTATTGAACTCCACGACATTATGAAATATATTTAGAGATGGTTCGTTCATCGACTGTTGCCAACTGAAGTGTCGAATGGATGCTGGATAGAAATCTTCGAGCAACTGTTTCACTTCAAAATTTCTCTGACTGACCCAGCAAGGACCCGCAGTCTTCCAATACTCTACTATCTTTCTGACGCAATGCTCTGACAATTCATGCATCCTTCCGCGATCATCGTGAAATGCACTGCCCGGTGGGTTGTTGAAAACGCTTGAATTAATTTCAAACGTTTCAACCAACTTATCATTCCGTATCGCAAAACCTTCGCCAACGACTTCCGCGTCGTTCACAGATTCACCGAAAGCATTTCTGTAGACAGCTCCATGAACAGCGCCAGGCTCTTTACCAATCCATTGCTTAACATTTTCTGAATCCGTGTCTTGAATGACGATATAGCCAGACTTACAGTGAGTGTTGTTAGCAGTTCTCCATTCTGACTTGTCGTTGTATTGGTAAATAATCACTCCACGATAGTTGTGACCTGGTTGATACTGATATGTCAGATTGACAGGAAATGTGCATGGTTTCGACCAAAATTTGATTCTTATTATAAGTCGTAGGAAATATTACAAGCTGATCTTTCTCAGGTGGTGCGGCAAGGTGACCTCCAAAAAGGCCTGCTGCGGCCATATTTAGATAATGTGCATTATCACAGTTCATTGGTAGCCTTGTTATGTATAGTTTACCTGTAGTTGGGTTAAACCATAGTTTCTCTGAGTACTTCTCCATGATACCTGAAGCGATTGATCAGCTGTTCTTCGGAACGATTGCTGATCAGGTCGATCACTGATATACATATCAAATTAATTTTTCAAGGTAATAATAATAACTTATAATTAACATATTACGTCACTGAAGTTCTGATTAATCAACTCTCATAGCTTTCGAAAGACTGGAGGAGCCTTAATGTCGGAGCAGTTTGTTTGATGTTTCAGGATAAAGACGAGGACTGCTGGACTCAACTGCAAGGACTTGAAATTTGGTCTAGTCTGCTTGAGGTTTTAAAACGACATCTCATACTCACCATAGTCCTAAATCATAATTAATTTTGATTCAGTCCTGGAAACTGGATTAACTTTAATTCAGTGTTCGGACTTCACCTGATATCCCTATCTTCATGTGACCAAAATAAAGCAATATGATTGGCCAACCTCCAATCTTATTGTTTATTGAATTACTAATGAGTTTGAAATGTACGAGGCCGTTTTAAACAAAAAGCAATCTTTAGCGCAATGACTGACGCTGGTTTTGAGAACTTGATATTCATGCGGCAGGTACAAAACGCAGGTTGCAGGTTGCAGGTTGGAATTTTGCAGCTTGGGAATTTTGCAGGTTGGAATTTTGCAGGTTGGAATTTTGCAGGTTGACAGAAATTTTGCAGGTTGATGATGCAAACTGAAAATTACACTACTATAAAGTATTCTATTATAATTTTATTTTGTACTTATTGCAGTCTGACTCCTTGTCGCCGCTTTTGATATCAGCCTATCCTGCTACCATGTTTCTAGCCTCTGCTCATCACCCTTGTGAAAACATTTAAAATGACCAGATTGGCTTGGGTCTTCAGGGGGACGAATGTTTCGATTGTTGCGAGGAGTCTACATGACGTGGTGGCAGTTCAGAAAATGCCTGAATGAGGTGTCTCTCCTCTGCACCCACTTATGAGACCACTCAAGCCCCCAATTACCGTATCATTACTCGAGAGTTAGTTAACTTTTAACAACATTCTAGTATAAACGCCGCCACATCATGTAGGCACCTCGCAACAATCAAAACATTTGTCCAGGGGCGTAGGAAGCTTCTAAAAGTTGGGGGGGCAGGCTTTGAGGGGCACTTTCCGAATAAAAAAGGGCATCTAAAAATTTTTTCACGGAAATGTTGGCGACGGGGGTGGGAAGGGGGGAGGTCTCAAAAATTTTTTCCGGACATACCAAAAAAATATTTCCAGATATATCCAATTTTCCTAAATATGAAAACAATTTTCCGGAAACACAAAAAAATTTTTCGGACATCATATTTTTTCCCAAAATGAAAAAAATATTCCGGAAAATAACATAAATTCAAATCAAATAAAGGCAATCCTTAAAACATTTTTAACACAAAAAAAGGCACTTTGCTCCCGGAAAAAGGGCACTTGGCAAAACTTGGGGGGGCCTGGCCCCCCGGTTCCTACGCCCCTGCATTCGTCTCCCTGTAGGTCCAAGCCAATCTGGTCATTTTGAATGTTTTCACGGGGGTGATGGCCACTAGCCTTAGAGCAGAGGCGCCGACAAGGAGTCAGACTGCAATAAATGCACAACTAAATTATACTAGAATACTAAAAACGTGGTGTAATTTTAAGCTTGCATTATTAACCTGCAAAGTTCCTGGCAACCTGCAAAATTCCAACCTGCAAAATCCCTGCATTCGTCTCCCTGTAGGTCCAAGCCAATCTGGTCATTTTGAATGTTTTCACGGGGGTGATGGCCACTAGCCTTAGAGCAGAGGCGCCGACAAGGAGTCAGACTGCAATAAATGCACAACTAAATTATACTAGAATACTAAAAACGTGGTGTAATTTTAAGCTTGCATTATTAACCTGCAAAGTTCCTGGCAACCTGCAAAATTCCAACCTGCAAAATCCCCAACCTGCAAAATTCCAACCTGCAAAATTCGCAACCTGCAAAATTCCAACCTGCAACCTGCAACCTGCCTGCGTTTTGTACCTGCCGATATTCATGCTATATATTATAGACTTGCTACAAGTCGACCTCGTGTAATTGACTTCCGTAAATTCCTTGCTCTTCAAGAAATCACTTCCTTGAAAATTCCCCCGTTCTAAACAAAGACACGAAGGACTTTGCGAAAGTCTGGCTATATACTTGCTCTCTTAGATCTACATAAAATAATAATATAGAATAAAATAAAAAAAATTAATATAGAATTCAGGTTCGTGATATTGACATTTCAGTATTAGTTTATAACAAGCTAATTTATTCGGATTATCTACAATTTGACTGTCATTCATTTTACTGTCGATGCATATGGAAGTGTTGATAAAATATTGCATGAATTAATTCACTCATTCAAAATTGATCAACTTCCTGTTACTTTTAGATAAGCCAATTAGATTTCGTTTCAGAACCGATTGACCAATAGGAAACGCACAGGAAGTAAAAGGAAATTTGAATTCGTATGAATTGATCAACTTGAGGAAATGAATTCACGCAATATTTTAGCAACACTTCCATTGCATCGACAGTAAAAAGAATGACAAAATTTCTAGGAGAACCACTTGAACAAGACGAGTTTAGGACGGCCAATTATCGTATTGACACCTTTCTGACGCCTTGTAAAAATCTGCGGTTGTACGTTGTACTTGATGGCTTCAATTAGCAAAGTAGTGCTGGTAGTGATTATACAGAATAGATTAGATCTATATACTGTATACTACAATCTTGCGATTGGTTTCCTCCATGAAACTGGTTAAAGGGGCAATGGCACCGATTTTTTACCTAAAATGCTTTTTATTCAAAAACTGAACTACAAAGTTAAAAATAAACATTGTAAATGGATTAAGTTATGATATATGAGTAATATTAAACAACTTTGAACTTCCACGCAGCATGTAACATGACATTTTCATAAAAATTGACTAAAACTTCATGAAAAACTGTCTGCCAACAATTAATCAAGATGCAATTTAGAATCCATCTCAATCCTGGCGTATAATTGTGCCCATCCAGACTTCTAGTGTACATGTTTTTTTGTGTCTGTTATTGCTTTATTTTGTGCTTACACTCGTTCTTTTTCAGTTTTGGGCAAAATTTGCGAGGGTTGGAATTGCTCAAAAATCGGCGACATTGCCCCTTTAAGTCTAGCATCCTCCGCAAGCAACTCGGCGGTTAAAGGCAAAATTACGCAATACGTACAGAGAAATGATGGCGGTAGTAGGGGATCATGAGAGGTAATTGTGCAGTCTGACGGTTACTTACCATGCAAACTAACCAGAGTTTTCATGACACTTCACCACTCTCTCAATCTGCTAAATATTACTGTAAATTTCGCCGTTGTTTTCCAACAAAAGAAGAACAGCATTTGTTCCTCCGAGTAAGCTAGGCATATTTTATATGATTTCCTGTCAAGTCTGTCATACAGAATACAAAAGTTGGTCAAAATCAGTGAATCTACACGTCTAAACGGCGTAAATTCGCGTTAATATTCTCAAATTGCGCAAGAAAATGTCTAACAACTCCTTTATGAGATGTTCCAGATATTCCAAATGTTCCATTCCATGTTTTGGACGACGTTGCCCTAATTAGACTACCTCCACAAATACATGCGCGCTCGTGTACTTTAAATCATATCCAATTTATTCACTAGCTTTAAATAGATTAGAAGTTAGTATCTCCTAATTTTGCAGATGAAGGGATTCGCTCAAACGTCAAAGTTTGTTCAAGAAATTGCATCATGTCCGCTCGTCATTTGGTGGGTGGAAAACCACAGGGGGGAGGATAGAATATAATAGAAGTGATTTTGTAAAGTAAATACGGTACTTATTAAGAAACGTTCACTCCTTCGCTTGTTGCCGTTTTCTGTTATCGTGTAGTCCCCCCCCCCCCTACACACACAAATCGCGGATAAGACCTGTTCTGTTGCGAGACCCAGTATCATATTCAAGTTTTTATTTGACACACATCCAGCAGGGTAGTGAGAAATTAAATATTTTGATATACAATTGAATTTGTGACCTCTATTAGGAATGCGGTAAAATATTTCAGTAAGCATTCAAGTATACAACAGCCTTGGTTATATGAATATATGTATAAGCATAAGAAATGTCAATAACCCACGTATTATCGGTTACGTTACTAGAAGTATGGCGGATAAGCAGATAGGGCTGACAAGGTTTGCGGCAGCGTTCGTCCCTGCGCCTGAGAAAGACAAGATCGTAATAGTTCCCAAGTCTCGTTCCAAGAACGGTGTTAATCTCGAAACAATACATATTTCATGCAAATCTGACATATATCTTGGACGTTACTACAACTATGGTGGAGCGATTATTTATCAATACGATGATATGTCAGAATGGAGAACTGCGAATAACACTCGATGTAAAACTGGCTATATCGTCATTCAAGACACGGATTCAGAAAATGTTAAGAAGTGGATTGGCAAAGAGCCTGGTAAAGTTCACGGAGCTGTCTATAGGAATGCCTTCGGTGAATCTGTGAACGAAGCGGAAGTCGTTGGCGAAGGTTTTGCAATACGAAATGCAAAATTTGAAATGTGTTCAAGCGTTTTCAACAATCCGAAGGGCAGTTCGTTTCACGATCATCGCAGAAGGATGCATGAATTATCGGAGCATTGCGTCAGAAAGGTTGTGGAGTATTGGAAGACTGCAGGTCCTTGTTGGGTCAGAGAGAGAAATTTTGAAATAAAACATTTACTCGAAGACTTTGACTTTGATACACTACTTTGATCGCGACAATGTAAACATAGCAACATATACTTCTAATAATTAGTTATGCCATGTAGGACGCTATCTTAATGACATGTACAACGGTCATTGACACAAAGTTGAAGAAATTAATCATACAAAATACGAAGTGAATGATGCATGATGCACGTGGACCCGTGGAAGAAGCAGCATTTGGAGCTCTGGTCCAGTCCAAAGGCAAAGTGACATCTCATAATCATAAATCATTGTTTTTGATCCAGTGTTATATCGACTGAATTAATTTTGAGTGAGGGCCATTTTACTAGATATACATAGGCTGGGATTACACTATACCGGATTGATTTTCATACCGGATCAATTTTCACACCGAAGCCAAAATCAAGGGTAAACACACTATGCCGCTTCGCTCTATCCAGCTCGTATCTTTTATCGTTGTGAATTATAACTTTGTTTACAAAGCTTGACCACCCGACGTTGCTTTGACTCGCTCTTATCGAAAATTGACGAGTATTTCATTAAATTTTGCCCTTTTGAAAGCAAGAAGTCAATGTTATTACCGCTATCTTTATTTGTCTTCGCTAGAAATAATAAATAATTGTAAAGCGAAGCAAACAACAGCCATAAAATATTTAAAAGCGAGTAAATAAAACGACAATGTCAATGTTAAAATATACTTGCCGAAACCTATTTATAGTACCGGAGCGTACCGGTGTCAGAGGAGATTCGCCCCCCCAGGAGATTCGCCCCCCCTCTCAAAAGGGGGGCGATATTCCTAGGATATTCGCCCCCCCGGGGGGCGAATCTCCTAGGAATATCGCCCCCCTTTAGGAATTTCGCCCCCCCATATAAATTTTGAATTTTTGATCTAAAAACAAAACGATAGCAAGTTGAAAAGATTTATTGCGTGATTTATTTATTTATTACAAGGAGACAAAATTACATACACATTTTAGGCTTCTTAAGACCGAACTCCATTTCTCGGCGAAATGCGAAATATTTCACCTGTTTCTTTTGAATTGCGACTACTTGAATAAATTATTTCTACTTGATTGCTCACAATTCAAAAGAAACTGGCGAAATATTTCGCATTTCGCCGAGAAAAAGCGCCCGTGAAATCAGGCCTTTAGCAGCTGGTGGTGCGCACAGGCTGCATAACAACTCATTTGAGGTACTTAGGGGCTGATTACTTGGACCGAGCCAGCCCGGTTAACCGGGCTGAAAAATGTCACGAAAATCTTCCTTGGGCCGCAAAATGAGTTTTAAATCGGGTTTAGGATGATTTTGCATCTATACTAAACCAATTATTTATCGCAAATTTATTTTACGCGAGTTTTAAAACCACAGTAAGGTCCTAAACAAACGAGTCAGCCCGGTTAACCGGGCCAGCTCGGCACCATGTAATCGGCCCCTTAGACTAGTTCATATTCAGGGCCGCAGAGAGGGGGGGCAGGGGGGGCAAATTGCCCCGGGCCCCGAATTGCTGGGGGCCCCTGAAAAATTTTTGTTGGGCCCCAGCCTTTTTTGTGTGTTAAATATTTCCGCGCAAAGGACAAGAGATCTGTTTTTTGGGCTAAGTACCGAATTTTGGCATGAAAAAATGAGATAAAGTCCCTCGAAAGCAATTGCAACGTACTCGTCCGGAAAAATTTTGTACTCCGGAAAAAATTTTTGACCCCTAAAATGGTACACTTACCGAAAAATTTTTGGCGACGGGGGGGGGTTGTTCTCCGGAAAAAAATTTTTTAGATAGGGGCCCCTAAAAAAAAATTTGCCCCGGGCCCCCGCCAACCTCTCGGCGGCCCTGGTCATATTTTCTAAAGACTAAAGTGGAACCATTGCCCACAGAGTCTTTAGTGTCGCATAAAATCATGTTGTCGTATTCTTCTGACAGTTTAATTTCACATAACATATTATAAAAACAATCGCTTGCAAATTTTATCAATACCAGTGTTAACAATAGCCGCCACAGTAATCACTTGCTAACAATAAACTATAGGATTAATAAAAAATCTATGGAATGTGTTGGGAAGCGTATTGACTATTGTCCGTTGAATCATCAACTTTCCACATCAGTAAATAGTGATGTAATCTTGATTCTTGACTTCCACAAAGAAGATTGCATTATATATGCGGTGTGGTTTATTCAAATAATTTCACGATACTTTGATTTTATTAGTGGCTTGAACATTTGAGAATGTAACTCTGCAAAACTAAAAGCTTTTTTGTCTTTTTTGAAACGTATATTATTGGAGTATTGCCAAGTTCTACCCTTCGCTTCTGAGATTTACAAACTATATTGAAGTAAAAAATAGTGACAACTTATAAGCCACACATTTTCCAATAACGACAAAACGTGGATGGAAAACAATACCAATGATTACAATAACCACCACGGTGATTACTTTTTAACAATGTGTGTAAGGATTAAAGTGAAAATGCAAAATATGCATATCCTTGCCGATCATTGATCGGTGATCGGTTGTTATTTCAAGCTCTGTCTTAACAATTTTGAATTGATACTGATTTCAAATGGAGCCATGTAACAATTATCCCATGCAACTGTTAGGAAGGGCAAACTTTTGAACAAAAATCCTAAAGAAAAGGTGAAGTTTCTAAAGGGGGGCGAATTCCCTAAAGGGGGGCGAAATTCCTAGGATTTTCGCCCCCTTGGGGGGGCGATATTCCTAGGAATTTCGCCCCCCGGGGGGCGAAAATGTAGGGGGGGGCGAAAATCCTGGGACACCGGATTGGCCTCTTGTTTACACTACGCCACTGTAATCCGGATTACTTTTCATATCACCTCCAAAGCGAAGTGATTTTCGCGCCGCGGCACGTACCGGATTACAGTGGCGTAGTGTAAACAAGAGGCCAATCCGGTGTCCCAGGATTTTCGTCCCCCCTACATTTTCGCCCTTCGGGGGGCGAAATTCCTAGGAATATGGCCCCCCTCCCCCAGGGGGTGAAAATCCTAGGAATTTCGCCCCCCTTTAAAAAATTCGCCCCCCTTTAGAAACTTCACCTTTTCTTTAGGATTTTCGTCCTCCGTTCAAAATTTCGCCCTTCCTAACAGTTCCATGGGATAATTATTACATGGCTTTAATAATTTGAAATCAGTATCAATTCAAAATTGTTAAGACAGAGCTTGAAATAACAACCGATTACCGATCAATGATCGGCAAGGAATTGCTTATGATCGGCGGTGACCTGAGTATCAGGCCGTACTTCGGAAAAGCAGGGTTTCGGTTTCCAACCTGAAAAAAGCAGGGAAAGTCACGACTGCTGATCACCATGATCGGGAACTTTGGGAACGTTATTTCAAGCCCTGCATGTAAGAATACAAATTTACAATTACATGTATCGAAAGGGCTTTACACAGTTACAGTAGATCAATGCTCAATAGGACTTATGACGCTTCACAGCACACCATGCATATTTTGCATTTTCAGTGTTAAATGTTAATCCACTCATTGTTAAAAAGTAATCACCGTGGTGGTTATTGTAATTATTGGTATTGTTTTGCATCCACGTTTTGTCGTTATCGGAAAATGTATGGTTTGTCACTATTTTTTACTTGCATTATTTCAATATAGTTTGTAAATCTCAGAAGCGAAGGGTAGAACTTGCCAATAGGCAATAATCCAATCATATACGTTTCAAAAAAGACAAGAAAGCTTTTAGTTTTGCAAAGTTACATTCTCAAATGTTTAAGGCATGCACTAATAAAATCAAAGTAACATTAAATTATTTGAATAAACCACACCACATATATAATGCAATTTTCTTTGCGGAAGTGAAGAATCAAGATTACATCACTGACACAGAAAGTTGACGATTCAACGGACAATAGTCAATACGCTTCCCAACACATTCCATAGATTTTTTACTAATCCTATAGTTTATTGTTAGCAAGTGATTACTGTGGCGGCTATTGTTAACACTCATATTGATAAAATTTGCAAGCGATTGTTTTTATAATATGTTATGTGAATGTAAACTGCCAGAAGAATACGACAACATGATTTTATGCGATCTCTGTGATGGTTCCACTTTAGATGTGTAGAATATGACACTAGTCTAAGTACCTCAAATTAGTGGTTATGCAGACTGTGCACACCACCAGCTGCTAAGAAGCCTAAAATGTGTATGTAATTTGGTCTCCTTGTAATAAATAAATAAATCACACAATAAATCTTTTCAACTTGCAATCGTTTTGTTTTTAGATCAAAAATTCAAAATTTATATGGGGGGGGGCGAAATTCCTAAAGGGGGGCGATATTCCTAGGAAATTCGCTCCCCTGGGGGCGATATTCCTAGGAGATTCGCCCCGGGGGGGCGAATCTCCTAGGAATATCGCCCCCCTTTCGAGAGGGGGCGAATCTCCTGGGGGGGGCGAATCTCCTGTGACACCGGTACAGAAATCGCGTCGCTTCGATGCAATCCGGTATAGTGTAATCGGGACCATAAAGTATAAAAGTATAAAACGGTATATTGTTTTTCGTAATTGCAAGTTCATTTTCTAAGGACGTCAAACTGTTAGTCAATTCTATAGTGAATGCATGATTGTGTGAGACAAGTATGTCAAAGACTGAAAGTGAAATGTGTTTTTAGAATGACGCAACAAGCTCACGAACATGCATGGTCACATGGTGTACGTCGGTGGGTATAAAGTTTTCCAGAACTTAGTTGACAAGAGTTTCCAGTCACGAAATGTCACAGGGGCTATTTCAAGCTCTCTATATATAAATTCAGATCAGTTAGTACTGAAGTCTATTAATTAAAGTATGAAATCGTGTTTAATCATCCGTTCAAAACAGCTACCTGCGCACCATTGTCTCGTTGCTTGAAACGACCCTTTCAAAAATTTACAACAAAAAATTGACGTGACACGAATTTCTTATAAAATAATCATGCCAAATAGCTTTGACTGTTTAATAACTTTATACTAAAAATATAATGTGGGCCATGCAGTTTACTGTTGCGTGGCTATAAGTCGTCAGTGAGGCTTATTAAATACTTTAAAGCTATAGCTAGACTTAAATTCGTTCGTTAACTAATGCTTTCTTTATTGAAAGGAGTAATCAAATATCACCCCAATAGGCGTGTTTGCGGTACTGAACTCCACATTGTGAAATAAATTTAGAGATGGACTTTTCATCGACTCTTCCCAACTGGAATCGTATCGAATCGATTCTGGATAGAAATCTTCGAGCAACTGTTTTACTTCAAAATTTCTCTGAGCCAGCAAGGACCAGCAGTCTTCCAATACTCTACTATCTTTCTGACGGAATGCTCTGACAATTCATGCATCCTTCTACGATAATCGTGAAATGCACTGCCCAGTGGGTTGCTGAAAACGCTTGAATTAATTTCAAACGTAGTATCATTCCGTATCGCAAAACCTTCGCCAACGACTTCCGCCTCGTTCACAGATTCACCGAAGGCATTTCTATAGACAGCTCCGTGAACTGCACCAGGCTCATTTCTCCATTGCTTAACATTTTCTGAATCTGTGTCTTGAATGACGATATAGCCAGTCTTACAGTGAGTGTTGTTGGCAGTTCTCCATTCTGACTTGCTGTCGTATTGGTAAATAATCACTCCGCCATAGTTGTGGACAGGTTGATACATGTCAGATTGGCATGAAATGTGCATGGTTTCGACGGAAACGTCTTTCTTACCATAAGATTGAGGGAATATCACGATTTTGTTTTTATCAAGTGGTGCAACAAAGCTACCACCAAAGAACCCCGATGCAGACATATTTATACTTTTACATTTATCACAGTTTTTCATTGGTAACCTTGTTACTGTTAGTTTACTTGTATTTGGGTTAAACTCTAGTTTCTTTGAGCACTTCTCCATGATACTTGAAGTGATTGATCAGGTGTTCTTCGGAAAGATTGATGACCAGGTCGATCACTAAATATGTTACACTGCAGTCTATTGTAATTTGTAGTATATTCATAATAGCTTATGCATATATATCACGTCACTAAAATGAGGTCATTACAGTTCGGAACTCTCATAAAGGAGCAGTTTATCTGATATTCTGATGTCTGAGGCGAAGACGGGACTACTGGACTTGCAGTAACTGTAAGAAGTTGAAATTTAGACCAGTCAAGACCAGTCAGCTTGAAGTTTTGAAATGACATCCCATACTCGCCATATATATTCCTAAATCATAATTAATTTTGATTCAGTCCCAAGACTGGATTAACTTTGGTTCAGTGTTAGGGCTTCACGTGATATCTCGTATCATCATGTGACCAAAATAAAGTAATGTGACTGGTCAACTTCCAATCTTGTTGTTCATTGAATTACTAATAAGTTTGAAATAGTACGAGGCTGTTTTAAAGAAAAAGCAATCTTTAGCGCATGACGCTGTTTTTGAGAATTTAATATTTACGCTATATACTTACTCTCTTAGGTCTAAATGAAATAAAATAATATAGTATAATAGAAATAACTATGATATAGAATTTAGGTGAGTGATAGATCTATCATCACTCACCTAAATTCTATATCATAGTTATCACATTTCGGTATTAGCTTAAAACAAGCTAATTTATTGGAATTATCTGATTGGCTGTCCAAAACTGGTCTTGTTCAAGTGGTCATCCAAATTCCGAGATGACAACTGGTGACAACAGACTGGCTAAGACTAGCCTCCTCCGCAAGCCACTCGGTGATCATGACAAATTTCGCCTTTGTTTTCCACCGAATCACTAAAGATCGTATTTCTCGGTTTGAATTTTAAACAAGCGGTAATCAGCGTTGGAAGAATCGTAGCGATTGCTCGTCAGAACAAAAGGGATTATGTAGTTTGGACAAAAGGAACCAGGAAGCATTTCAAACACTCATTAATAATTCATAAGCTTATTGGCAAATCATGTCAACCATAATATGTCACGTGCAGTGGCTTTAAACCTGATAAAACACTCCTAATTAGTATTCTTTATATAAAGAATACTAATAAGGCAGTATCTATTGTAGTCGTGTCCTCATTAGTATTTTTTATATAAAGAATACTAATAAGGCAGTATATCTATTGAATTTGTAGTCGTGTTTGAAGCCGTTTAATAAACTCGCAGGTCGTGTTTTATTACGTCTAAAGCCACTCGCGCTGCGCGCTCGTGGCTTTAAACCTAATAAAACACTCCTGCTCGTTTATTAAACAGTACATCAGTCTATCACCGTTTTTCAGAGGAAGATTGAGTTTTCTGGGGGGAGAGGGGACTAAAATAGGCTTGCTATAGTGCTGCATGTGTGTTGATCATGCAAGTTCAGTGCATGGTCGTGTTTCAATTTGCTGACTGTGAATAAAACTGATATTTTATTCCTTGTACATCTAAATAATTATTCGCATTTGCCACAATTTCGTAGGGTGTATTGTGGAAAAATAGATATTGAGGAAGGTTAAATTTCAAAACTCAATTGAAGATTTACTACCATATAACAGGTAGTAGAAAAGTGCTTGTAAGTATCCCTGATTAGGAACAAATTAATGAAAATCGAAGACAAACTAAATAATAAAACTAACAACAAATCTAAACAATTTTAGATTTCTTTTCCACCAATACATCATAACAGATTTTACACTTTTACAGACGAAGAACGTTTTTATAAAAGAACAACAGCATATGTTCCGAGTAAGCTAGGCATATTTTATACATATGATTCAGTTCCTGTAAGTCTGTCATGCAGAATACAAAAGTTGGTCAAAATTGCGTGTGTCCTATTTTCGATACCACATTGCGATAGGTTTCTGTCTTCGAACTTTTTTCTGTAGTTGTAGTATTCCATATAGCAATGCCTCAGCAGTGGGTGGGCAGCCAGGAACGTAGATATCTACAGGAACATTACGACCACAGCCTCTGACTACGGCATACGAATAATGATAGTAACCTCCACCATTCGCACAGCTGGTAAAAGAAAAAATATAAATGTTATTAAGACACTCGGGCAGTTTTACGTATAGATCTTATATAATTGAACTCTCCTCTCAAAAACGTCCTCTCATATACCCGGGTTTTGAGAATAAAATTTATTAAACACCATTTGGCTGAACTAACACCCCCGGGAGGGGGGGGGGGGAGTACGATAGTGGAGGATTTACGATGTTATTGGTTGATGGAGGGGGTCGGTCAGCCCCATTATCTAGTGTTTAAAGCAGCCGAAAATTCATAAGAGGATGTGTGGACAATTTCACTTCTAAGGACTGTTTCAACGTCCGCTTCTCGTGTGCCGAACGCATTAAAACCAATAGATAATCAGCTGAAATACCTCATTATCTATTGTTTCTAATGCATTCGGCACATGAGAGGCGGGACGTTCGAAACAGGCCTTATAGGGTATAAGCTTCATCAAGAGGCTATACTATTTTCCTGGCAAACGATCTTCGCTTGACATGGTCTAATCTTTTTAATCCGTACACTTCAATATCACAATTTCATATGTGCATATTTGAGTCTGCAACAGTACCTTCCCATAGACAGCACCCAACGTGGCTCGGGCATTTGATCATACACCTATCAATGCAAATGTACAAAGTACAGTATGTCGATACAACAGTAAGTTATCTTATTATCTATTTGACAAAATTACTGAATCCTGATTTGGTGAGAGGAGTGTATCTTATTATACGTATGTACGCAATTCTACTACGTCATCAGTCTACGTCACTACGGAATTACATGAGAGAGCGCGCGCGAGCTATCTAGGCAATTTGTGCTTGCGTCTTTCTGGGCATAAACAACGTGAAGAAATTTATGCGAGTAAATCGTAAAGAATAGTTCATTATCAACGGTTTGTTGAACAAAATTTTTGCACAAGGCAAACAGGGAGTATATTGTTTTGTTATTTTGCTATTTTGTGGTTTTGTTTCTTATTCTCGTTTAGGTAAACGATCAAATGGACAATAAATATATATAAAATGGTGACAATATGGCGGACAGCCACAAACAAAATTCACGCTTGTGCTGCAGAGTTGAGCGGCAAATATAAGCAACCCAGTACACCCACATTGGGGAAAAGCTACCTATGGTCTATACAGACCGCTCCTAAGATGAGCAAGTGAAACTAAAGCCTTATTAAGGCATATGAGGCCAACGGCCATATATTAAAAAGCCCAACGGGCAAAATATACGAGGCCAAACAAAGGCCATACAAAGCCCAACGGGCAAAATATACGAGGCCAAACAAAGGCCATACAAAGCCAATTAAACAAGAAGCCAATGGCTGTGGAAAAGCCTATAAAACCAAGAAACAGGACGCCAACTACCCAGTCCAAAGCCTAACGAGTAAAGGCAAAAGGTACACATGGTCAACGACCACATTGTTGCTTCAGCAACTTGGGAAAGTACCAAGAGACGCCATTGCTGTGCTGGGCGCCACAAGGTCATGGCATAGTGCTTTTTCATAGCATAGTGCTTTTTCACACCACTAGGAAGCTAGTCCATTATTTTAATGCACACAACTGCATGTAACGCAGAAACTAATTGGATTTTTCCAGTGTCAACAACATAAAAATGTCATTTGTGGCGTGTGCCGTGTGGATACAGTCCATGGCATGTATATACACATATATTAAATGATCACGTTACCCACTGTGCTTTACCTAATGGAATCTACAATAATATTATAATATTGTTTATTGCTGCAAAGCGTTCAGATTGAACGACATTTTATTTGCACTTTCGTAATACTTTATACTCGAGTTTATCCTGAGCGAACATTATACTTTGTTTACTTGGCGGGAAATTGCCAGTGCTTTGCCAGTAATTTATTCACGTGCTACGCACGAGATTTAAACATGGAAGTACATCAGTACATGTTACGAGAACCACGCTAAAGGAATAAACAATTGTGATACTTTTAAAGTTTTATCTTGTGTGATATAATAAATATAATAGCATAGCTAAATGCCAGCAAAACCGTTGAAACTAGACCTGATCGAATGCAGACCAGTTTTAACTTGGTTGGTCACTTCCTGTGATACAACAACAGCAGGGGTGATGGCCATCACATGACATGTAGTAAGGCCAAAGGCCTTGTCCAAATTGAGCTACACTACAACCTACAATGAATATTTGCTCATTTGAATGTGAGCACACAATAACACAATGTTCATTCCAATGGTTCTTCCACGGCAAGACTAAAGCTAGTCAGCTTAGTTTACTGTTAATATCAGTAATTTTGGTATTGGCTGGTATCAACTCACTTCTGGCATAAATGCAGTCACTGTACAGCTTGGTACAGTTGGTGGAAATAGTATACATCATGCATGCTATAGCAATTATAGCCCCTTTTACTATCTCAGTATAGTAACCTGATTAGTCATTAGACTGAAGTAGGTTATTATCTTCTTCCCAAGTGGGAATATTGGCGGTGAAAATCGAAATGCTAATCGATGCCAGTGGCTATGTTTGAATCATCAAACAAACAACTCGCCCAGGCCAAGGGGAAATTTACTGAATTGTACGGTTTGTACCTGTTTATTTAACCATGGATCAGATTTCAATTCCTGATTAGAATTGAAGGTGTGGTTGATGTCTGCAAATCTGCATGGAGGCTAATCTTGTTCCCTGAGAACAAAATTGGACATCATTATCTTAACCTCTTGGAGGCTTTTGAATATCCAAAGCAATTTGTATTAAAGTATAAGGATTAGTAAATTTCTATGCCTTGATTTTCGGAACAGCAGTGTAGAATATTCACTGGTCATTATGTATGGAAATATACCCAATGGAGATTGGCTTCAAGCCAAACAAATCAGGCCAGACTGGAACAGTGAAGCGTTCTGGTACTCAATGACAATGTTTCATATAACAATAACACACCATTGGCATTGGCATTGGGAAGTTGCACTATCCTATTTTGTAAATCATCTGTTTAACATGGCATAGCCATAGACTCATAGTATAGGCTAAATACCTTGTACATATGTCATATATAATAGACATAGTCAATTTGCTGCAATCACTGTTGTTCTGGACTGCAGGACAAACATTGCATTTATAGAATGGCATTCATTCCTTCACAGGACAATACAAAGACCAATTACCAAATAGCAATGCCTGTGATGCGATACTATTCAGTCTTCGTAAACTCGACTATACCGTCGGTATGTGTGCTAATTTATGGTTATGATGAGTTTTAAATGGTCTGATAACAATAACAGTTACAAAATTCAAAACTGACGAACCGGCTGTCACTCCAGTGCAATATGCATGTTATAATTACCGGCTATTTAACCCCATTGGCATTGCATATGGCTATATATAATAAAATAAGAGGAATTCAATACAAAGGACAATTCTTGTCAGTCATGTGGTCACCATGTAACTGTATGTAGGAAGGGCACAGCGAGAAACCTTATGGGCCAATATACCATGGACCCTGACTCAGGAAAATATGCAACTGACCGAAATTTAACTTCGAATGTTGCTTTGATTCTCGCGTTAATATGCAAATGAAGCCAATAACAATGTCCCCTGATTGTTTCAACAGGATATCTCTACAATAATGTTAGTGTTGTTACTGTTGTAACGGATAAGATCTTTTCCCTTCACCTATTGTAAGTTTCGGATGTAAACGTTCCTATGATACCCCACACAGTCACAGAAGAACACTGATCAAACCTGTCCTCTTTGGCGAATTTCTTGTGCACATGCAATGTATTTAACACATATTTCGTGCCACAGAAATATTACTGAGGAATATAACTCTCCAAATACAAATAGTTGTGGATATGACTATATGCTCACCGCCTTCACTTCGAAACCTTATGGCCTTTAACGGTATGATTGTACGTCCAAATGCCATCGGCATCAAGCGGCATACTACACTTAATTATTATACAGACTTCAGTACACAAATTGGGACCATAATATTGAGAGGGGTGATAATCCAATAATACAATATATGACATATGTATTTGAAATGGCTAGACTTATAGAACATTGATGTTACTCAGACTCATAATGTACTAATCAGTACCTATTTGGGCACATTTGTCTTCCTTTTCATTGTACGTAGTACTGCCAAAATCATTTCTATCTATCATCAGCTTCTGATTTATAATAACGACGGAATTATGGAACTAATGCATATTTTTGCTTAACTACATTATGTGTGTCATATAGAACCATTATATCAGTTACATGATGCTTGTGAGGTTACTCTGAGTGTATATCCACATTGGGCAGGCTTGGAAAATATGCCTGACCACGGTGCATGGGAATCGAACCTACGACCTTTGGAATACTAGCCCAATGCTTTGCCAACTGAGCTACGCGGTCAGGTTGGTTCGAGTATGTGATATTTCGGAACTGAGCCTAGTTCCTTCGATATCAATGTAATCTAATAATCATGATATTTGCTGTGTTGGTTACGTGATATTAGTCAACGCCGAGTTTTCAATGCTCAGTTCAGCGTTTATTGCATAACGGTCTGATGATGCTGTAATGACCTTAATTTTTATATAATTTGCAAAGACGTCGTGTGGCATCAGAAAAAATATTCATTTCAAAATTAGTGCAAGGCTGCAACCAGGTTTTTCAATTGAGGAAGAGTAAAAGTTCTTTCGTCCTTGAGTTATCAACTCCTCGATGCCAATGGCACATATATTGGAAACTTTTGGCTCTATGACAGCCTAGAGATACACTGCAGGCTGTATGCTTAATACAAAGAAAAATTCCGTCTTATGGTATAGGAATTGTGAGTCGTATCGGTACCAGGGAACAGCCTGCATGGGTACGGGTTTGCAATCTTATGGCAACAATCGTTCATTGCTTCTTGATGGCAATGCATTTAATTTAAGGGAATTTAAAAAGAATCATGAGGAAATTATCTTTACCTTTATTTATTTGGAGTCTACTACTACTAGCATTTCTTGTAAACAGAAGAGGTTAGCCCAACGGCCCAACCTCACAATCAAATGATTCCCTTTTTTGTATCTGCCCTTGCGCAGATGTGATACTGTCGGCTCGTTTGTTAGTAGATGCTATCATGGTTTAGTTACTTCGTAAACCATTGACTGATCTACTCATTGGCGTGTGTGTGTGAACAGGACCGCTTTGAAATCTCATGTAATTCCGTAGTGACGTAGACTGATGACGTAGTAGAATTTAAAATTAAACGAGACTTACCTGTAAGTTGAAGTTTGATTGGAATTCTACAAGTCATCAGTCAGGAACGGAGGAATTACATGCCCTGGATCAGGCAAGCTGATTCCCTCCCGTCCCAATTCCTCCGTTCCATGCTCCTGTTCACACTCACGATTACGTTGAATATTGCCTAGATAGCTCGCGCGCGCTCTCTCATGTAATTCCTCCGTTCCTGACTGATGACTTGTAGAATTCCAATCAAACTTCAACTTACAGGTAAGTCTCGTTTAATTTTAAATTCTACAGCTATCTTATACAGTTTTATAATATAATAGTGAATGATTCCGAATATTCAAAACGGATTGAAAGAATGAAAGCAGTAATTATGTATAACGGTTTAAACCGGCGTAGGCCGTACAGCACACTGCTCACTGGTCACTGGGACGAAGGATAAACCGAAAATTCACTTCTCTCCATGACAAGCTTTTATAATGTTCAGTCGATCCGCTACATTGAAAGATGAGTACTTGGCTATCTTTTGGTAGGGGTAACGAAATATATCGGCTGTTCTCTAAGTGTTTCTTAATGCGTTGGCCATCGGAATATACTGATATAACTACATAACTCATAAGCTTGATAGATATGTGACGAGTTTCACAGGCACAATCCTATTTTAAATACTATGGCTTTTGGCAGTTTTGCATCATATGTGCAGTAAAAGCCCCATTTATCTACTTCCTCAACGTGTAAAACGCGAAAAAACTTTATTAATAAGAACAAAAATTTGTAATAAAAATTTGTAGTAAACAGTGTATTTTATTATAAAGGATTTTCGTTTTTCTACTGCTCCGTAGTTCGTGTGCTCCGTGCTCCGTGTGCTCCGTGCTCCGTGTGCTCCGTGCTCCGTGTGCTCCGTACTCCGTGCTCCGTGCTCCGTGTGCTCTGTGCTCCGTGTTTTACTAATAGCCGATTTCAAATATTGTAAACAGTCGGTATCGCGGCGTTGATTGGCTGGCTGTTGCCGAAAATAGGTGTTTTTATTTGAATCCCCCCCTGACAATCCAAACGGTATAGGAGGCTAGGTGGCCAAGCAGGCGCCGTAGTAATTATCGGTCTTTCTAAGTTCCATAGAATTTTAGTCTTGAAACATTTCGCTAAAAATCCATTGCAAAAATTATAGGACGTGTTAATATTGTCTTGTATGTTCGAAGATGGGTGTTTATTCTATACGCTGGCGAAGTTTTACCGGGAACAAAGCAATTTAAAGGGGATATTTTTCGATTTGAATTGTTCGTGTCGGCTGTTTGGTAACTGGAATCGTTAGCCTTTGCTTTCAATACTATCACCTATGAAGACAGTCGCAGGCATCGAATGTGAAGTCGCTCAGAAATAAAAGACGATCACATACAATCAAAGTAGGCAAGTAAATATGATTTTAAAATATAAAATTCATTACAAATTTTATTGTTTAGTATATTCTCAGAGGTATATTCTATAATGATATATTTACTATACACTGATACACGTCTGGGCCGCCTGTGGTGTGTCTGGGCCTTAATGCTTGTGGTATTATGTGGAGTCGCGAATTTATTGTATTGATAAATTCGGACATGTTTAACAATTTACTCACATCGTAAATTCGAAGGTCGAGCTCATGTCCATCACAAAGGATTTTGGTTTTTCTACTGCTCCGTGTTTTGGTAATAGCAAAAAAACGCGCATATTTTCATTGAATGTTTTAAAATTTGAATATACTTTTTAAAAAATCAGCGAATATTTTTTCCTATAATATAGATTTTCCTCTGTCATTGCATTTCTTTTGCAAGCATGCACAAAGAACACCGATCTACGTTACTTCACTTATTAGTTCATTGTAGGTTTACTCGACTTATTAAACATTTTACTTGACTTATTAAACATTTTGCCATCTGTCGTAAGTAAACTTTTAATAATTACCTGACGTGTTACCGACAGATACTTAGCAGAAAGCAAACTAATTATGCCACATTAGATATAATCGCTTTCAAAATTTTGAATGTCTCTGGACGGGATATTGAAAACTATACGCGCACCAAATTTATTCTTACAGGCTATTAAAATTTTAAAGACACTGAATTTGCTTCTATTTTTTTCATTAATATATCTCCTCTGTCATTGCATTCACAATAACACCACGTTGATGCTCATAGAAACATTGTAATTAGCCTGCGAACAGGCCCATTGTAATGTTCGTGCATCTCCCTCAATACAACTAACAGTTAGGGACCGATCATAAAGTATGTGTACTGGGGAGGGGGTGGAGGGTAAGTTGGGCAGTGGCGTGCTGGCAGGGGGGGCCTGGCAATTCTTGGGGGCGCAAAAATGAAAATGGGGCGCCGAATTTTGAAAGTGGGAAAAAACGCATTCTCGAAAAAATATGGTTACTTCCGCCAAGAAAAAACATGTTTATAGGCTACAGTATAAAACAGACTAAGCGCATATAGGCGACATATATTAAATTACAGACTATTTTGCCTATAACCGTATTTGCTACCTCACAGCTCACACGAAATCGTTCATATAGAAACATGATCAGTGATCACAGGCAATGTCTCATTACCGGAATATTGGTCTGGTTTCGATCGATGCGATCACAGGAATTATGCCCTTTTTTGCTGGTATTATGCCCTTATATTATGCCCTTTATTATGCTTCACGAATCACGAGAGCGGATGTTTAGTTGTGTACGCAATTTAGTTGTTTGCACAAGAAGCATGAGTAATGTAAGCAATGAAATAATGCTGAAACATGCCCTTTTGGCAGCCAGGCAAGGAAACCTTAAAATGCATATGCGTGGGTTGCTTGTGTTATTGTATAAAAGAGCTTTACGTTGTAAATGTACTCAGAACAGTAGATCAGTAGAGAACAGAATTGGGATTAGATTAATCGCTGGAAGTAGTTAGCATTGCATAATTTAAGTACTGCTACTAAATTCTAACCGAATTGCAAATTTCGACGGCATGTTGTAAAAGACGGACTGGACTGGACTGGACTGGACTGGACCAGACTGGACTGGACTGGACCGGGAAAACGCGGACTGAGTCCGTGTTTTACAAATCGCGGACTGAAATCAGTAGAGAACAGAATTGGGATTAGATTAATCGCTGGAAGTAGTTAGCATTGCATAATTTAAGTACTGCTACTAAATTCTAACCGAATTGCAAATTTCGACGGCATATTGTAAAAGACGGACTGGACTGGACTGGACTCGGGAAAACACGGACTGAGTCCGTGTTTTACAAATCGCGATCTAAGATTTGCATAATTTAAGTACTGCTACTAAATTCTAACCGAATTGCAAATTTCGACGGCATGTTGTAAAAGACGGACTGGACTGGACTGGACTGGACTGGACCAGACTGGACTGGACTGGACCGGAAAAAACGCGGACTGAGTCCGTGTTTTACAAATCGCGGACTGAATTTGTAAAACACGGCGGACACATTTACTGAATGCACTAAGGATGAACGGTCGCAGTAAAGTATAATTGTCTATTCTCATGACAAAGTTCAATGTTTTTACCGAGAAACTTCAATGTTTTTGATGATCATTTATGATCATTTGGTGGTTTCAAGAGGGTGGGTGGGAAAGGGGGGGTGGGGGGGGGGGTATGATCACGTTTCACAACGAAAAAAAAAGCCGTTTCACGATTCACGTGTCTTAAAAATGCAATTTCACGGAAAACTAGATTCTAATAAAATAATATAATAATAATAGGTTTATTTATGTTTAATGCGTGGTACAGTATCTACGTTTTAAGCCGGTTCTCTCACTTCTCTGCCTGGCAGTTAAAAACTACATCATAACTTAAAAAGTTTGAGTGACGAGTATGTTCGACGACCACCGAATGGCCTCCGAAGTTTTTACTCTTGTGCAATCGAGTGAGATCGATCATATAAATTGATTATCGCGTATCATGTCTATTATGACTGATTACGAAATACTAATCGAAATAAACAAAGCAAAATCACAGTTCACGAAACAGACACTTTAATTCTCATATCGACAATCACGCCTCACGGCTGTAGAACAAATCACATTTCACGACACTAAAATCAAGCATTTCACATTTCACGCGAACAAATATTGACCATTCACGGCTCACACAAATACCCTTTCCCACCCTCTTTCAAAGCTTGGATCTGGTTGTTCAACAGATTAACATCAGATCAGAACCTGTCAAGTGCTCTTGACAAATATCGAAGATTCTCACGCGAATAGGCAATGTTTTTATCAACGACCGTTCATCCTGCAAGCGACGGTACATGGACTCAGTCCTGTACTGACTCAGTCGTAAAAGTTTTGGCGGGAATTGCACTTAGTCGTGAGAGTTTTGGCGGGAATTGCGGATATTAATAGGTCGGTCAAGGAATAATCATATCCTGGAGCTAAGGTTGGTAAAAATTACTATTATTTATTGTTTTGAATAAATCAAAGATTTTAAATGATAGAATGTTGAGTTAATTAAGTAATTTACAGGGTTTTCAGAGGGAATTTATAGAATTTATATTGGTCCAAAAATATTAAGGGTTAAGCATGTTTTAACAGGAATTGGCAGACACCCCCGAATTAAAAGGGGCTAGTTTCGCTCCTGGATATAGCTCTTATAGCAGATACCATTTAGTGTTACTCATAATTAGACTTAAAATAGAGTTAATTTGTTTATTTTGCGTTCGTGGCGAAGAGTTTTCAAACGTTTTCACCCGTTTTCAAAATTACGCGATCAAGGACGAAAATGGCATATTGCATTTAATATACACCCCCTGTTGAGGACCTTGGAAATCCAGGGGTTAACCTCCATTTTTTGTGCTGGAAATCCAGGGGGTGGGGTCAAAATTCACTTATTTTCGCTGGAAATTCCAGGGGGTGGGGGCCAAATCTCGTGTTTTTTCGCTGGAAATTCCAGTGGGTGGGGTCAAAACTCTTATTTTCTCTGGAAATTCCAGGGGGTGAGAGTCAAAACTTGCTTATTTTTGCTAGAAATTCCAGGGGGAGGTGTTCAAAAGTCACTTATTTACGCTGGAAATTCCAGGGGGGAATGAAAAAATGGCACATTTCCAAGGGTAATTGATTTAAAATGCTTGGAATTCCAGGGGGTAAGACAAAACATAGCAAGGAAATCCAGGGGAATGTAAAACATAGCAGATTTCCAAGGGTAATTTATTAAAAACTTGTGGAATTCCAGGGCCTAAGAGAAGAAATGACATGGAATTCCAGGGGGGCAGATATTCGAACAGTGTGTCCTCAACAGGGGGTGTACGGATTTTAAATGCAATATGCCAATGCATGCTAGAGTTGACAGGTTGACATGTCAGTTTTATGTCATTCGGTCACGAAGTTTAAACTTTGAGTTTTGCGGTTCCATGTCGATGTATATGCTTTGTATGCTTTATATAAACAGGCTTACAATGATTTCAAGATACTTTTTCGTGGGAATTATTGCAAAATTTAAGCACAAACAAAATCATAACATCACCGTTCTAGCGCGCGCGTGTTTTTATACTAACAGCTATATTCCAAGGGGTTGTTATAAATTGTTATTTTTCAAACTTTAAAAGTTATTCACGACACATATTTCTGTTGTGATGGTTTGTATTGTGCTTGTATCTAACTCATTTTTGTTCAGTTTTGGTATTAAATACGGTTTAAAATGTCTTTTGACAGTCTGTTTACGTTTGCTATTTTTAGCATTTTTTGTGACATAAAAGTAAAGAGTATATTTTTCAGGGAGCTAGGTCGCGTAATTTTGAAAACGGGTGTAAAAGGGTGTCTATAAATTTGCGAGAAATATGCGAAATGAATACTATAATCGAATAACGATTTTTAGAAACTTCCTCGTATGACAACAATAAAAGTTAATAGACTGTTTTGATGGCCTGCGAGAGTTTCCCTGTTTAATAACACAAATATTTAAAAGGCAAATTCGATTAGAGTATTCATTTCATATTTCTCGCAAATTTGTAGACACCTTTATTTAATACGCCCTCTTCGCCACGAACACAAAATAAACGAATTAACTCTATTTTCTTCTAATTATGATTAACACTAAATGGTATCTGCTATAAGAGCTAGCCTATATCTATACAGGCATACAACTATTTACATGCACGAGTTTCCTGGACAATAATGGCACAAAGCCCCACATGGCTGAGCGTGTTCCTAAGATTGAACGCTGTTCATCAGTTTATTCAAAACAATAAATAAATAATAGTAATTTTTACCAACCTTAGCTCGATATGATTATTCCTTGACCGACCATTAATATCCGCAATTCCCGCCAAAACTCTCACGACTGAGTGCAATTCCCGCCAAAACTTTTACGACTGAGTCAGTACAGGACTGAGTCATGTATACCGTCGCTTGCAGGATGAACGATCGTTGATAAAAACATTGCCTATTCGCGTGAGAATCTTCGATGTTTGTCATGAGCACTTGACAGGTTCTGATCTGATGTTAATCTGTTGAACAACCAGATCCAAGCTTTGAAACCACCAAATGATCAAAAATGATCATCAAAAACATTGAAGTTTCTCGGTAAAAACGTTGAACTTTATCATAAGAATAGACAATACTTTACTGCGACCGTTCATCCTTAGTGCATTCAGGAAATGAGTCCGCCTTTTACAAATTACAGCACGCGATTTGTAAAACACGGACTCAGTCCGCGTTTTACAAATCTTAGTTCGCGATTTGTAAAACACGGACTCAGTCCGTGTTTTCCCGGTCCAGTCCAGTCCAGTCCGTGTTTTACAAATTCAGTCCGCGATTTGTAAAACACGGACTCAGTCCGCGTTTTCCCGGTCCAGTCCAGTCCAGTCCAGTCCGTCTTTTACAACATGCCGTCACAGAAGTGGTAAAGGACATGTGTAACAACTGAATGGTATCCTTTTGTAAAGGTTTTGGCCAGGGGTGGGTATTTATTTTTTAATTGATATCTGTGGTTGGGTAATCAAATTTTTGACTTTTTAATGGTTGGGTCAGCAAAATTTTTGCCAGGAAAAACATTTCTCTTCGGTGCCACCCCATAAATAATGACCAGTCCCTTATTGGACGTCAATTTCCGCCATCTTGGCATCACTTTTCTGATCGGGTTAGGTTAGGGGTTAGAATAGGGTTAGGGCGAGTGTTAGGGTTTAGTTTTGTGTTAGGATAGTTTTTTCTACGTTATAAAGACGGAAACCTTATTTTGAAGTATACTATCTAGCGATCACCGTCTATTAGTACATATAACATGGCAAATGTGCTCAATAATTATATACGATTTGAAATTTATTCTCATATATAAATGAAGTTACACTGTAACAAATATAATCACTTACACTATTAATTCATAATTCTTCTAAAAATTATTATGTACATTTTTGCGTCACAATAGAATAATTTGTGTATGTGATTTTACACAGGCAATATTGGGCAACAGCGACAACACATGACAGTTTAAATTCAATAGCACACTACTAATGTAACCTGCCAACTGAATCAATAAGGCTAACAGAAGAACCTCTGTGACGTGGTATAACATACAGGCTTTTAAATTGCATTTACTTCGACTTTACTTCGACTTTTTAAAAAGCTTTTGTTATTATATTCATTAGTTTTTCGAACATGTGAACGACTTTCCGTTTAATCTCCAGGAATGTGACCGAAATGGCATTTTCTTTCAAGTATGAATTTTGGCATGTGTAATATTTGGATCATTCTAAGAAGAAATGTAATACATCTTTATAGTAAAAACCTCATCTTGATCAACATTTTCATTGTCAAATGTGCTGGTGCGATGTCATTAGAATAATTTTAGCAGTAAAAAACAACGGGAAAACTAATTTACAAATTACAATTCATGTATTATCGTAGATTAGGTTTTTCCAACAAAGATATATTACATTTCTTTTTAGAATGCCCCCAATATTACGTACACATAACCAAAAGTCACATATGGTGTTTCTCTATTTAGAAAATCCTGTGAATTTCACTCCTGGAATATTGTCACGTGAACACTATTGCCCTGTTATCACGTGATAGCTTCATTTCCGTCATTACTGTGGCTGCCTCCCACTTGCTTTTCACCTGTGAACGAAATATAAACCAAGATAATGAGTGAAATAAAACATCAGCCCTTTGAATAAATTAATAAACACGTACTAAATTATCATCTCAAGCACACAAATCATAATCACATGGCATTTCTGCTATTACATATATAGAATTTTTACCAATATGAGGTATTAGAAGTAATATTACTAGATTTCAAGTCCGCGCAATTTGATCCAAATGCGAGGACTTGATTTCTAGTCCAGTCCGATTTGAAATGATATCTCGTACGAAAAAATCACTACTTAAAATGAGGCTAGGTGAATTAATTTTGATCCAATCCAATCTACGCATGCTCATGCAACAGTGCGTTTCGGTCATAGATTTTCGGTACGGTACGAAACCGTTGAAATGGAAAACGACCTTAAAATACGTTAGAAAGAAAACTAGAGATAATTGGATTACTTGCTACATTACCTTCTCATATTGTTCAAACTTTAACGTCGTGTATTCAATAAATATTTCCCGTAACTCCAGTTCTTTCTGATAATCAAAATGATACAATTCGTTTGAGAGATTCTCGTACATCATCTCCAAGTGAGCTTTGGCCGCATGAAGGTTAGAGTTCGCCTGAAATATAACCACAGCGGTACCTTAGGGGTTGCTTACATGATCCCGCTTTGCGAGATGTGAGGCGGGATGATTTTCATGTATTGAAATAAGTTACGGTGCCCAATTCAGTAAAACTACATTATTTTTCTTGTGATAGATATCATAGATTATCTATAATTGTGAAAGAAAAGTTGTTAAGCAGCAATAGTAATCTTATTGGACCACGAGATCTTGTGGACAACATTTGAGTAATTTAACGCCGTTTGAACTTTCGTTTATTAAAGCCTAGCGATTTATTTCATGACATAATACATTCTGTCCCGGCAAACTGGGATCATGTAAACAGCCTCTTAGATTAAATATCGAATACAAACAAGAGCACAACAACACGGTGCAGGTTGATTTTTGTTGCATTATATCGAGGTAGCTATAAATAATAATATGCAGTGTGGACAAATTATTCGAGTGGACAAACTATATGCAGACAGTTCGTTCTGACGGATGATCCGTATTTTTGCCCGCGTTTATACGCAGACGAACTATCAGACGAACAATTTTTCTTTGCCCAAATTTGTCCACACAGATCATCCGTCTCCAGTGCTAGTATAAATCGCGCCATCAAAAACAATCGCTGGAGCATGCTAATATTTTGTACACCAGTACACCTACATGCATAATCATTCCATCCCATACAACCCAACCTTTACTATGACATAAAACTATATTTACTAAAATCATTTGCCAACTCACCTCAGCCCATCTTGTAGTGAGATCTGTACTACTTTCTTTATTCATGTTTTTCTGGTCAAAATAAAGGATGAGATTTTCAAAGAATGTAATTTGCTTTTTATGAGTTACTGAACCCAACCACAGAAAAATTCTTGTATACGTATGAAATTCTTGTATTCGAATTCTTGAAAAGCGACCCTTGTGCAGTGAGCCATATATACCTGGAGCAAGAGCTCCAGTCATTCGGTCTATAAGAAAAGTGAAGCCAAGATGGAGGCCATTGACATCCAATAGCTATGAAGGTCGTAAACACTTTTATACCATTTTCCCAGCTAATTCCAAGTTATCAGTTCATAAAACCATAGTGTTATTCTTTAAATCGATGTCAAAATACGAAATTCGGCACACTCTTTGCCAAGATGGCGGAAATTGAAGGAGTTATTGAACGTCAGTTCCAGTCCCTTTCTATTGTTTTTGTCTGCGCGGTTAACACGAAGCTGGCTTCATTTTTGAACTCGAGTTCTCGCTCCAGATTTATATGGAGCTCACTGCTCTTGTATTACATCACTATGATTACATGTACCTTCATTTCTTCACACACCCGAACTTCCTCTTCCCAATATAAAAATGTGTTTACAGAACTTTCTACTCTACCCAATAATTCCTACAATGAAAACACAAAATACTTAAATATATATGTATTGTATATATCGTTTCAAGATAACTAAATACGGATAACATATCGTGCACATACCTGGCAACTATAAATATATTCTAAAACACTCTGAAGATCACCAATAATAAGTTTTTCATCTTCTTTCTAAAAATAGATACAGTATATTTAGCATATATTATATATATATACATATTACCAGTATTAGAATACATTAAATATATAGTATATATTATGCATAAAACTAGAATACGGATTTAATTCATAAATCAGGCGCAGTACTAAAGTATAGTTAATTAATGAATTAATTAGTTAATATCGTTTTATATTACTCTCCATAATGCTTCTCTCGAGTACGAGATTTATACTTCCAGTAAAACTAGGACATGACAAAATAATACTCATATATGAAGTATTTACTGCTTAAGATTCCGAGCCAGTGAACAAACCTGCCGACCTTGACCCTGTAAGTACACAGCAATTTCGAAGTTATTTCATTTTACCTGTCCTTTTTCTAAATCATCACAAACTTTACTTAATGCTTGGGCAGCCGTCTGTGTTGAAAAAAAAACACACAGAGAAGTTGAGTTACGGTGATATTGTGAGGAGACAATTGATCTATTGACATTGTAATATAATATGTCTAGTTGTTTATGCATATTAACAATGCCATGTTACTAATAGTAATTTTAGACTTTAGTGCATTAAAACCCATTTATACGAACCCAATAATGCAACGAGGTTCAGATTTATTCGCGCAGAAAATCTGTACTTTGGAATATTTGTGAAATAGTATAAAACCTTATTAGAGAATGATTGTATGGTGTAGGACAGGGTTGAAAAAAGTATCGGACCACGGGACCATTGGTCCCAGAAATTTTTTTGAGTTCCCAGAAAATACTTCCCCAAGAAAATTGCAATAATTCAGATAAAAGGAGAAATTCTGAGGAAAATTCACACCATGACCCCATGACTTAATAGTGCGATAGTATATCAATGTATTAGACTATAGAATGGTGAAACAAATGTTGTATGGCAAATGCATTTTTAGCCAATCTGGAACACCTGATTTCAACATTTTCTGAGGGAGCATGGATCCCCCTGATAGTGTCCCCTCCCCCCGCCCAGTAGTGCCCTTTTTTGCATCTGTGTTTACCATAGGATGAGACCCTTGATGCATGTTATCTAAATTAGTTTTATGTAATATTTTAAGATTCTCAGTGGACTGAAATAATTTTTTCTGTAAAATATAGCATGACATCCAGTTTGACAACTCGTTAGTGTCACACAGTTACAGTGTCCGAGTGTCCATTTACTTCAAGATTATTTGCAAAAAAATTTTCAATGTTCTCTTGCGGTCCCAGAAAGTAAAATATTTTTCCACCCCTGGTCAGTAGGACCAACAATGTTGGACTGGTTGAACGGGCGTTTAGGTCATCAACCGACTACATAGTTTATCAAAATGGACAAAATATCCATTACCTTTAGGTACGTTTCTTCAGGTTCAGACTCTGCAATTGATTTAAACCATCGTCCCTGGCCCTCTGAATAATATATAAAGTATATATCAAACATTGTTCTTTTCAACTTCTTGGGGAGGTTTATATTGCTTAAGTACTTTGATGGAATACGACAATATCTTTTTTCAACAAGATTCATGACATTACTTAGTAGTTGTAAGACAAATTTGCATTTCCTTCGACCTTCGTTTCTGGCAATTTCCTTGAAATCTTAAGCCCTGATCAAACGAGGGTGAGAGTTGCTGAGAATTACAACTCTCGCTCGTGTTTAACCGCCAACTCTCAACAACTTTGAGCTGATTCCAATTTTTATCAGTTGATCACTTGATGACTCTTTTTGCTCGTTTAACCATAGGCAGCCCAACGTGTTATGGTTGCCTGCCTGCCTGCGCGCAGGCGAGGCATTGTATAGTTGTGTTACAACTATACAATGCCTCGCCCGCGCGCAGGCAGGCAGGCAGGCAACCATAACATTGGGCTGCCTATGGTTTAACTGATAATATCCATGGCCAACTCTCATCAACTCGAATGCACCATTTAAGGAATCGTATATCATACTATTTTCTGTCATTTGAGTCAAGTAACATAAATGCAGTCAAGAATATTTTGTTGTTGCATACATGATGGCATAATTAATGTGTCAGTCAAATTTGCCATCGTTTTACGCACTCTTGAGGAACATTTGAAAAATGCAAATTCAGGATCTGGGAAACATTAAACACTTTTTCCAGGTCTGACAATAAGATGTAACAAGAGGAACTTACTTTTAGAACCACTTTCCAGACTGCTCCTCAGATGATTAATTAAGCCACTTAAACTATTCACAATGGATACTAAATATTTCTGAAGAAAAGGAAACACGATACGACTTTAACAGATCGTTAAGACATGAAAGGACATTCAATACAGTCGAGTAAATTCACGACTCTTTCATAGTTCTCGCTCCAAAAAGTCCACAATAATCCATGGGAATACCTAACAGAAGATAGGGCATTTATACACGGCGTGAACGATACGGCGCAATGAAATAAAAAGTACCAGTTAAAATATGAGCAGCCGATATTTATGGGCATTTAGAATGCCCATAAAGATCAGTTGCGAATATTTTAACATACTTGTAAAATGAATTTATTTGTTTACTTTATTACTATTCACTGCCCATGGGGACAATCTCACGCTTCATTAGCTTGCATTTAAGATCTGAATTAGTATTGATAACTTCCATAAACATCCCTACAGAATATTGATAACTTTCATAAACATCCCTACAGAATATTGATAACTTCCATAAACATCCCTACAGAAAATTGATAACTTTCATAAACATCCCTCTAACATGACTTACTGCGGTTTACAAGTGTGCACATGTCATCTATAAATACCGCGTCGTGATTTGTTTGTAGCCTTATTAATTACTCATCAGTTAAAATCCCGATACTCAATAGTTACTATACCTGACATTTAACAAGTGTTCCTTTATCACTAGTTGATATTCTGGATGGTTTATGATCAATTAGACTCTGCTTCAACGACTGTCTTTCACTAAACTCTTCTTTTGCTGTTATAATTTCCTTAAAAACACGAAATTAAGATGTTATATAAAGAATTGGATCCCACTTGTCTAAGAAAGGTCACAACATACAATACAGATTACAACAACAACAACAACAACAACAACAACAACAACAACAACAACAACAACAACAACAACAACAACAACAACAACAACAACAACAACAACAACAACAACAACAACAACAACAAACGATAAATCGTCTTCTTACTCGAAAACACAAACTGTACCTCATCTGAACCAGTTAAAAATAACTGTATTAAACTGCTTGTTCGCAGAATTTGATGTTGACAAAGACGAGAAAGAAACCGTTCCAGTTCCCTCGTTTTCCCTAAAAATAACGAGACCAATGTTATGCCAAACTACTAACATCTTAAGCCGAAATTGACTTCAATATTAACTGCATGTAAATAAATGGTAGCTGTACAAATCTTTTTATTCCTTTTTCCCCACTCACGCAACATGTAAAGCTATTTCACTGGATCCGGTTGTACGAAAACAGGATAGCGCTATCGAAGTTTCACGCTGGGCAAACAAGACAGCAAATTAGACCACGAGAATGGGCCAACAAATAACTTTCTGTCGTTAGTTTGGAATATCACTAAACGTCCTCACAGAATAGAACTTGACATTCCTAAAAATCGTATGTTTTTTGTTTTTCGATTTTTTTACATTTTGGCGGGAAAATGATGTGCCAACTTTGGCGCCAAAAAATTAAACACGAGCTAAGAACATGATAGTAACTTTTTTGAAGAGATTGTCCTATAAGAATCTCAAAACTGTAAAAATATTGAAAATACAACAAGGCAGTGCGAAGATATGGCGATTCAAATTTCGAAAAAAATCTATTTTTAGTAACAAGATGGCGGATTTTGCAGACTTTTGAGCACCATATCTTTGCACTGTTTTGGCGTATTTTCAATGTTTTTACAATTTTGAGATCCTTATAGCACAATCTCTTCAAAAAAGTTCCTAGCATTTTCTTAGCTCGAGTTTAATTTTTTGGCGCCAAAGTTGGCACGTCATTTTGCCGCCAAAATGTAACAATATCGAAAAACAAAAAACATACGATTTTTAGCAATCTCAAGTTCTATCCTGTGAGAAAGTTTCGTGATATTCCAACCTAACGACAGAAAGTTATTTGTTGGCCCATTCTCGTGGCCTAATTTGCTGTCTTGTTTGCCCAGCGTGTTTCCTTTTACTAATTGTGAGATTTACAGTATAGTCGATTTACAGTATATTCGTAGTTTTATCACTTTTCAAGCATTTTTACAATGGTTAAAAAATCACTATCCGGTGGATAGCGCCATCCAGCCTTCGTACAATCGACCCCTGAGCTATAATCACCATTAAGTGTAGTCTGTTGAAGTAAAGGTGGCACTACACATTCTGTACATAACTCCTGTAAATTATCTCTTAACCATAAACAATCTGATTCACTTCTATGTACATCGTAATGACTATTATTGTAATTTTCAAGGTTTGTCTAAAATGAGACGAAAACAATGGTTACAATGTCCTTATGTTTCGCATAAAATAAGTTTAGGGTTAGAGATTGGGTTGTGAATGGGTCAAGATCAAAGAGAAATATATTTGTGCGCCAAGATGTTACCAAAATAATAAATATGAAAATAAGCTTATAAATCAAGTCATCTGCTTACAAATCTAACACATCTTTTGTTGGCGATCGTTTAAAGTGGGGAAATCCTCCTAATCTGGCAATATACAGGGAGCCCCCCCCTCCCCCCAATAATTTGTAAACTAGCGATAATCTGTAAAGTTTGAGAGGGAAATAATGAACTAATAATCACCCCTGACTAATCC